GGAAGAGAACACTGGCTCGGCAGAGATAGAGACCTAGGGCTGAATCTTAATCTCACCCATAAAATAAAGGTGACAATGTTAAAATCTCTCTCACAAACTTGTAAAGTTTAATTAAGATGACGCATAAAGATGGAATTTGGAATAAAGATGGAATTTGGATCTTAGGTGAAAGAATGACTAAGAAGTGAAAGATGACATGAAACAAGTATCATGATACCTTGTAAGAAAATGCTTGGCCCTAACCTTCTAAGGTCAATTAAGACTCAGAACATATGAGAACTTGTACTGTAACATCATGTAACTCGGTAGTGTCCCAAATTTTTTGATCAAGGAGATTATGGGGCCAAAGAGGAAAGTGATCGATGATGTAGAGTATGCCTAAGGAGAGTCACATGGAAAGAAAACACTCTCTCAGGCTTTCACAGAGAGCACATTGGCCAAGCAATGGCTGTGACTCATCCATATGGCTGACACTGACAAAGGTTCTACAATCTGAGGTACAGGATCTCAGGATAAATCCTGAGGGGATTTCACTGACCTTCTCAGACCAAAAAGCTACAACTCTTGTTGCATAGGTCCTGCTTTACCTTGGTCTTAACCATCCAGTAGAAAAGTATGAAGACGAAATATAGGAAGTAAAGCCATGTTGTTATGTTGAGCTGTGGGGGACTCAGGTCAATAATTTCTGACATTGCCAGTTAAACAGAAGACTCAATGCTATTATGGTCTACTGGACTCTTTTAGAATATTTTGCTGAGTTTACACACCTATAATATTCAATAACGGACTTTGGAAAAATGGGGTATACCGATGAATGTCCATTTTGTACCTGTGTATTCAAAGTGGTTAGGATAGATATATAGTTGCATTCTCTTAATGAATAGAATGATTTGTTCTAATGGTGTTTGTAAATACGATCTCAAGTCCACATCTTGTACATCTTGTACAGCAATTAACCACTAAGAAGAATATATGCAGTGTGTTATTTGTTGAATCTGTACTTCCGATTTGATTTGAAACTGTCTCATTGCTGTTTATCAATAAAATTTTGAAAAAAATTTAAAAAAATTTAAAAAAAGAAAGAAAATGCTTGGCTAGAGAATAATCCAAGTTAGCACTGTGTTGGAGGTGTTGTTCTGTACCAGATCAGCACATTAGTAATAGCAGTAGTAGCAGCAGCAATGATACAGTATGACAATAGCAGCAGTAGCTAATACTAAGGTACTTACAATGTGCCAGGTGGCACAAATGCACTACTTGTGTTAATTCACTTAGCCTGTTAACTCTTAGAAGAAAGCATTTAGGCTTAAAAGTTAGATCACATTCTCTCTGGGTAGGATGGCTCATTCCTTCCTCTGGGAGGCTGATGCAAGAGTATCACAAGTTCAAGACCCAGCCTAGAAAACTTGGTGACTTAGGGAGACCTTGTTCCAAAAATGAAAGAAAAATTTAAGATTTGTAGATGTAACTCAGTGTAAAGGTCCTGGACTCAATACTAAATACTCAATACTAGAATCATACAAACCAAACCAAAGTGAAACTACATCAATAGCGTATAGGTCTTAGTTAAATCTTCCTGCCATTAATGACCCACTCGTCACTTCACTTTTGAGTTTTACTGTCCTCATGTTTAACTAGAGTTGAGAATACACAGCCTACAGACGTAATACAATTGTCATCTAATACACATAAAGTACGTACTATAATGCCTAATATCTAACAGATACCCTAGTAATTATATCTTTATTATTACTATTGATATTAAAATAATTATTAAGTCATAGGACCAAGGACATCATTCTATAAGCATGCAAAGTAAAGCTTAGAAAGAAGACTCTTTACTCTTTTCTGAGTTGCTTTTATCCTCTCTAAAACAGGTAAGCGTTCTATGTTTTTAAGTCTTTCTCAGCACCAATCACATATGAATAAAAATAGAGTATTATAAAGATAAAAAGACGTCTATACTAGATTTAAAGGGTTAGAGTTTTTTCTCCTAGGGATGGTAGTGTTAAAAATACTACAGTTCTGCCAAGTAAATAGTGCTGAAAAGAATGAAAATGGCATATGGCTGGAGCACTCTTCCAAAGAAACTACTCCATGCAGTCATCTCCTGTTCTTTTTTCTGCCTTTTAAGGTCACAGTAACATGATAGAAATCTGGGACTCACACCATCTGCCCAGACTGTTCTATCACTGCTCATTTCTCTTGTTAAATAGTCAGAACACTTCACACTTCCCAAACACTGCTACTATAAAGAGCAGCTGAAGCAGAATGAAAGAAGCTTTTTCTATCCAGAAATGTAGCTGGAAATGAATAGTGCTTTTGAGGTTTGCGGATTAAGGATCACATTAGTGAGAAGAACAATTCACCCTTGGAAAATGTAAGAACAAAAAGATTCTTAACAATAGCTCCAGAAATTATTTTTCTTGGAAAAAGAGCGATGCTCTTGTAGAAGTTCCCTAAGAACAGACAGCAGTTTTGCTCTGAGCTAACAGGTCTGTGTATTTCTCATAGACGAAGCAGAACAGTTTTCTTTACCATTACCACTGTGATAAATTTTTTTTTTTTTTTTCAGAACCAGGTATTGAACTCAAGACCCTGTGCTTGCCAGGCAAGTGCTTATTCTACTGAGCCATCTCCCTGGCCCATTGTGATTTTCTTTTTTTTTTTGGTGGAACCGGGGATTGAACTCAGGCCCTTGCGCTTGCCAGGCAAGTGCTTATTCCACTGAGCCATCTCCCCGGCCCCTGTGATAAATTCTTAATAGCAACAGAAAGTTCCTTAGCATTCAGGACACCCTGACACCCTTCAAAGCCCAAAGCGTTATCTCTTTTAATCCTTAAAGTCACTCTATGTGGAAATTGCTATTATTATTTCCAGTATTACAGTTAAGAAAACTTAGGCAGAGATGCTGAGAAACCTGGCCACAGTAACAGGTCATAAAATGCAGAGGTAAGACTCTAAAGTAAGCACACTTGCTCTATGTCTTCATGTTCTATTATACTATCTTACAGTTCTAAAAACGCCTCCTGAAAAGATTAAATTTAGCATCTCTATCACTTTTGAAGGCGCAAACTATAGCTGAACATCACACTGAGGCCTCATTTGTCTAGCCACAATGACTGTCAATTATACATTCACTAGTTTGCTCATTTCAAAGTTTATGTAGCACAAGAGAATTCGTTTTCATGAAGCAAAATAATTTTTATAATAAATAAAATTTTCAAGGAATGTACTTTGGGATCAGTGTCAACGTGGGGACATAGTACTTTGTACCTTTGGCAAGAAGTGTGGACTCTTCTTAAACCTCCAGAACAAGGTCAATCTTAGTTCTTGACTTTAGGGTCCCCATAAGAAAGGTCAACATACCCAGGAAAAACCAGAATGAACCAGGAATTCCTCCTTGTGTTTACAGACTACTCTCCTTTATGCTACTGGCCATTCTACTACAACCATAATGGCAATAATGATAGCAGTCACATTAGTACTGACAATATTAATAATATTAAATAATAATATCAATGACAATCCCTTAAACACTGATAAATTAGTAAGTGCTACACAGTATGCTAAGTATTTCATACTAATACATTAGACAGGCCAGGTAGGACAGTGGTTAAAAATATGAACTCCAAAGAGAATGTTGTCTGTTTGATTCTTTCACTTATTTGTGTGATCTTGAACAAACAGTACTTAAGTTCTCAGGGTGTCACAGATTATCTGCTAAGGCTGCTGTGAGGACTAGATGGGTTAATGTATGTAAAATATTCAGAATATTGCCCAACAGGAATTATCACCTGGCTGTAATAAATGAGGCACTTAAATGTTCGAAGAGCTAAACACCACAAGTTAGGAGACAGATGGAGTTTCCAGGTATGAGGAACCACTCAGACTACTTCAAGCTCAGGGGTGTCCAAGGACACCCGAGGACGTGGCCCTGCTTGTCCAGCACAGGCGAAGAGTGGGATGCAGCTGAGTAACCATGACAGCACAGGGGAACACGCATGCGCTGCTAAGGTACTATGGAAGAATGTGACAGGAGATAACAACCTGTATCAGATTATACAATAAAGATGCAGGTAGCTCTCCTGCTTTTGGGCTCTGGCTCTCTGCTCTGCTCCATGCTGCCTGCTGGTGTGGCTGGTGTCTTGCACACTTGGGTTCTTTAACCTTGGAATGTCACTCTCAAAAATCTCACTTGGGCCCCCTCAGCATATCGATACCAAGGCCAAAACTCCTTGTACCCCATGCTCACTCTCTGTTCAACGTCTGTAAAAGTTGGCAAGGTTGTTCCTTTCTTGGTAGCAGATAAGACAATGGTGCATCTTATAATGGATACTATTTTACATCTGATAAAATTTGGTAACTGATAAACCCAATGTGTATTCTTTAAAGATTAGGCCTCAGTTTCTACTAAAGTTACCTTTGTTTTGTTTTGAGATAGGCTTTTGCTACGTAAACCAGGCTGACCTCAAACTTACTGTTTATCCAAGGCTGTCCTTGAACTTGAAGTCTTCATGCCTCTGTTTCCCAAGGGCTGGGATTACAGCTGGATGCTACCACACCCAGCTAAAGTTATATTCTAAAGTTTGCACAGTGCTCACAGCCTCAGCCTTATTCAATCTCTTTATTAAACTTCGTTTCTCCTGAACTATCTTCTTTCTAACCCTTACCTAGTCTCATGTAATTTCCAAGCTCTTACAGCTCTAACAGTGCTTATTATAGACTTGATTTTTGTGATGGTGGCTTTGATAATCTCTCTGGTGACTCAAATTACGAATCGCAATAACTCCTTCTACTGGCAAACCCAGGGCTACTTTTTTCTCTCAGACTGTACTCTTTGGTAGCATTCCCTACACAAGCAAAACCAGACTCTTTGGGGAGGCTGGGAAAGTATCAGCTAACAATGGAGACTTGACAGATGTAGGTTTTTTTCTTTCTTTTTAGTTACATTTTTATTTCTACCCTCAAAAATTAATAGGTACTTATCTGATTCATACTTAAATTTTTTTCCTGTTTTGGCCTGAGTGCCTCCATTCCACATATAATCTGTCTCTTCATAGAAGAAAAAAATGTCAAGTTTTACATCATCTTTTCCTTGGAAGGATAGCTCCAAGCTGTCTTCCACCTAGGGAGAAGAGGAAAACCATCAGAGACTAAAATAATGCAAAGACATTTTTAAAAACTTTTTTTTTTTTTTTAAAGAAAAAGTCTCATATTTTACATAGACTATTGCTTTTTTTTTTTTTTTTTTAATTTGGAGTAACACGGAAATTTGGAGTAACACAGTAGCATACCATCGTTTACTTTTTTGGGGGTAGGGGCTTGAGACCAGGTCTCACTAGATAGCCTAGGCTGGCCTTTAACTCACTGTGTAGTCCAGGCTGGCCTTGAACTCAGGCCAATAGTAATGCCTCTGCCTCCTGAGTGCTGGGATTATGGGCGTGCACAAACATGTCCAACTTGCTTTTTGTTCAATGCACACAAAGTAATTCTTGTTACAATTAATGAACCTCAGAGAAATTGCCTGATGACAGTTAAAATTATCATTCTCCAGAGAAAATAGGAACAGCACATTCTAAAGTTCCTTTCTGACTGATGAAGGAAAGAAAGAAAGAAAAAAAAACCTCTCTTAAATAAAGCAAGAAAAACTATAAGGAATCATCTTTCCAGATTTTCAGAAATAAACCTGGAAACATTTGCACCTTTTTGGTTCATTTTGCAAAGTTCAGACCAATCTTTTAGTGTTTCATTTTTTGAATTTTTCCTTCAAGCTTAGAATCTGGTTTTATACAACTACCTGAATAAACTTGAATATTTTGACAGAAAAAAAGAACTATAAGGAAATAAGTTTCTCATTACAATCAACAAGTGATAGCGTTACTACATAGCCACACATGTAACACCAATCATTTACATGAAAAAGAAGTTAAAAAATTAAGATACACAAAAAAAAAAAAAAAAAAAAGCATTTCCCTAAAGAAACAGCCTACAAATAATTATGCTCCTATTGGTCTACCACAGCACCAATCCTTGAAGAATTTATGTTTTCTCCCCTTCCAGTTAGGCAGTGAGTTCTTCAAGGGTAAGAATTGTAGTAATTTATTCATCTTTGTGCTGTAGTGCAGAGCTAGCCAGACACAGAGCTAGCGTTCGGCAGACACTTGTTGAATGACTAAGCTCTATTACTTTTTTTACCTCAGGATAAAATTTTCTTCAACTGTTTCAGTACAGCAGAATCATTATCCATGATAGGAAAAATAATTTAATAGGAACTAAACACATCTGTCCTTGCTTTGCAGTCTACTGCCTCCCAGGGAACAGGCAAATTAAGCACAGGATGACTGCATGAGACAATGGACTTAGGACAAAGAACCAAACTGTCTAGAGCAAGTCTACACCTAGGCCATGAGGACCTGCCTCTGGCTGACGTCTCCTGAAACTGCTATGGCTCAGGACATGTGCAATACATAAGAAATTCAAGTACTGTTCTTAGCAATCAACAGAACAGCCGTGTTTATAATTTTAATTACATTCAGTCCCAAATGAAAATAAAATTAAACGATTCATAAGAAACAATATAAATTCATGCAAGGTGAGTAGGACTCTACTTTTTACATTAATGTTATATTACATTATTGCCCAGTATAGTGGCAATAAATTCACTTATAGAAGTCCAGTATCCTTCTTTCCTTATTGCCAATTAAAATCCAGATTTTCTAGCTTTTCCTAAAATACTGCAGAAATCACAAAAAGCAACAAGCTTCTGCTGAACCCATGCTGGTCAATACTGAGTGATGAAATTACATTATTATTAGCCTTGTGTGAGTTCTTAACATAAATGTTACAACTGAGACATGTTACTTAGAAAATAAAGCCAATTTTTGTTACTGACCTTCCCAAACTTGTGTTTGAGTGGAAGTCCTGCCTCCTGAAATGCTAAAATAATCTCGTATTTGTAATCTTGTATAAAAATCCCTAGGTCGACATCTTTGCTATAAGGAATGATACTGCACTGCCGATACCATCCTAAAAAAAGAAAAGGCATAAAGTAGTTTTTATTAAATCTGAAAAAATTAGTCATCTTAATGGATACTCTTTAAAACAATAGATTTTACTTCACAGGATGAGACTAACAGCCCTGCCAATATTTTGTTTTTAATTAAATCCCAAACTAGACCAGTTACAAGAGTAATCTCAAGAGCCTCTTTCCTTCTTCCATACCTCCACGCACGTGCCTGCCTCCCTACCTATGTTTTTTTCTGGTGTGAGCACTCAAACTTCCTCTAAAACTTTCATGATATATTTTAAGTCCTAAATAACCACTGTCATATATATAGATAGACATTCCTATCTATCTATCTATCTATCTATCTATCTATCTATCTATTGATCTTAAATATATTTAGCACAGTCTATAGGGTCTCAGTACACAGACTGAACTTGTAATGATCCTCCTGTTTTCAGCTTCCCAAGAGCTGGGATTACTGGCATGCACCACCATGCCCAGTCTCAATTGACGTCTCAGTGGGCCCCAGGGGGCGGAGCCAGCACAGCACGCAGGGGATCAAACCCCCAGCCCCTGGGTCTATGTTTTAGTAATATGTTAACTGGGCCATCCGTTTAAAATAAAAAGTTCAGCTGCTGTTTAGAACATTTAATCATTAATATTTAGGGATGTAGCCTGCTACCAGTTAGCCATCACTAACATTTAGGAATGCAGATATGCTGAAATACTTAGCTGTCTTAATCAGTATACCATTCCTGAGCTAATATTTAGTAGAATGTAATAGCTCCTATTTGATGGCTCACATAAAAGAGAAGCAGTGTCAGTTTTGATTTGCAGAACATTCAAAACATTGTGAAAAGTTTACTATATAGCTAGTTCTTAACTAGCTGCTGTAGCATTTTCCCAAAACAAATACCCTAATATTTGTAATTTCTCCATAATCTTCCCTTTTATCTTACCAATCCTTCTGCTCAAATTATTTCAAAATTGTACACTTGTAGTTACAATTATCCTATTTTTTTTGAATTCTAAAAGAATTCTATTAAATGATTTTAAACTATCAAGAATGGAAGATTTCTTCATCATCTAATACAACTTCCTCATTTCAGAAATGTCCTTAACTCAAGAAAACCACGGAGCTAAAACTTCAAAATGAACCATAATAAATTAAGAAATATTTTTGATAACACTGATGACCAAACAATCTTGCTTCTAATAGTTAAATCTTTGAGCAAATATCACGTAAGTGTATGAGAAATGTTCCTTTCCTCTTTTTTCTTTTCTTTTTTTTTTTTTTTTTTTGGTTGGGGAGGGCAGGGTCTCATTATGCAGTTCTGGCTGGCCTTGAGCTCACTTTATAGCACAGGCTGGCCTCGAAATCACAACAGTCCTCCTGCCTGTGCCTGCCAAGTGCTGGGATTACAGCTGTGCACCACCACAGCTAGCCTTTTTTGGTTTACTCTAATGCTAAGATATTTAACAGGAGGAACCATGAAATCTGCACAGCATAACTAGGATAACCTTGTATCCTAGATTATGCTTACGGTTCCATCATAATTAATTAAGGCATTTCCTCTCACTCTCAAAAGTCTTGTGAATTAGCCAGGTGTGGTGGTGCATGCCTGTAGTCTCACCACTGGGGAGAGTGAGGCAAGATGATCACAGGGGTTCAAAGCCAGCCTGTGCTACATAGTGAGATGCACAGTGTCTCAAAAAAAAAAAAAAAAAGGGAAAAAAGCCTGCCAAATTGGACAGTAAATTATATAGTAACTAAGAAATGAGTTAATTTTTGTACAACTACAGTTAAACTAGTTACAATAAAGATGGAAAAAAACACAATTTAAGATTCTGAATCATTTTAAATTTCAAAGAAGTTTAATCTAATGAATAGTGGTTGAAGATCCAGAAATCCTTCTCAGATTCTAACAGCACTCTTCCTAAGGCCATAGAAAAAAGCCTGCATTTCCCCACCTTAGAACAGTAACTAATGATACTATCAATAACCTAGAAAGGGTTTGTTGAAGAAAACTTCTTTCAGTCTTCTCCTTAGAAACTTGTTTTTTGTTTTCTTTTGTGGTACCGGGGATCAAACTCGGGATGTTACACTCGCCAGGCACTTATGCCACTGAGCTAGATGATGCTCACTGGCTGTATGATGTATATAAGTAAAAGAACAGAACACAATTTTTTAAAAAGGCAGTAACATTTTGGGGAAAGAAGTAATGACATACTAAGTCAAGGATTTGTTGAGAATCAAGGGTAGCCTATGGATTCTGTGATAAATTTTATCTATTTTACTTAATGTTTGTAAACACAGATATGACCTTCCTACAATTCTAGTCTATATTTCTGAAATTTATTTCTTTAAAGAATTGACAGATCCTTGCTCAAGGTGCCAGTGTTCATTCCGCCTCTGAGTATCTCACCTCAAAGTCACTCATGTCCTGTCATCTCAAGCAGTCATCGCTAAAGCCGAGAAGGGTGAAACAGCCAGCAGACAGGGAGAAGCAGCAAGACTCTTACCCAGACAAGTGCCGCTGCTCAGCCAGAATCGGACTCCCAGGTTGTTCAGTGTTCTGGCTGCCAGCTGCAGTAATTCCTTAGCGCTCTTCTGAAAGGCCATCGCTTCCGCAGTGTTGTCATCGAGGTACTGCTGCAGATCCAACAGACCATCAGCTATTATTATTTTCAAATTGCTAGAAATTTAGCTACAAACATGACTGAAACAAAATAAATTAAATGGTGTTCTCATCCTCTGGTGATGGTGCTAGTCTTCCCAGACTGTGGAATACAGAAGAAGGAGTACAGTGGATTTTAAATTAGATGATCTGTATTCAAGTCTAGGACCATTTCTCTCCAGCTGTGATCCTGGGCATACTATCTCTGAAGACTATAAGCTTCATTTTATTTATCATATATCTCCAGTACCTAGAATAGTGCCAGAATATTTGTCACATGAATGAGCGAATGAATTAAACAAACTTGTCATAATCTAGTTCTTTCATCTATAACTTTAGGAAAATAATTACAATTTGCAAGACTGGTGTGAAGATTTAAGGAGAAAAATGCCTCAAAAAGTATAAAATTTTACAACCAATATTACTGTCATCTATGTAGTCATTTGTCTTTTCTGTTTTTCTTCAGTTCTACTGTTCTGGGACTGAGGAAAACACACTATGTTTTTTAGTGATGCTTTGCTATGTGTACAACAAAAACTGAAACTACGTGGCCTAGCAAACAAGAACTACTGGCCCCTGACAAGTGGCCCAACCTTATGTCCACCCTACATATATTTAATATTAGAGCAAGTTCTCCCTCCCCCCACTTACCACAACTCTTCTAACCTCTGTGCCTTTACATGTTTTTCTTTATCTGATATGTTTTTTTTTTTTTTTAATATTTATTTATTTGTTTATTTAGTGTGTGTGTGGCCAGCTCAGCCCACCAGGGGGCAGGCCTGGCTAGCATGTGGTGCTGGGGATTGAACCGCGGTCCCTGTGTTTTGCTTAGCTTAGCTCGTTCTAAATAGGTGCTTTAGACAACTGAGCCATCTCACCAGCCCCTCTGATATGTTCTTGACTGAGAAAAATTTTAAGGTCTTGGCTCCAGCAGCTGAGAAACATTTACTGATTCCCCCAGGAAGCCATGTCTTTATTCTCCTAGTGTTCCCCTTCATTTCAACATTGATGGAGCAAAGAATTACATACAGCACCATACATACAAAGATAAGCAAAACAATCAGTTCCTCAGTGAGTTTGTAACAGTTACATAATACATACCTCAATAAATTGTAATTGTTGATTTTATTTCTGCTCACTCTACTGGACCATACAGATGGTCCCATAAGACCAGGTTCTGTCTCTGTCACAATATCTACAGATTTAGAATGCTGCCTGACATATTTAAGTAATGTGTGACCAATTCAGATTGAAGAGTGGGAAGTGAACAGATCACTAAATAAGCCCCTTCCATGATTACAATGTCCTAAAACAGCCTGTGATTCTTTTATAATATTGTAGGACTATGTGTACAATTCCTGGAAATACATCCGAGGCATTTTAAGGACTAGAAGGGCTAAACAACTCTTGAGGGAAGTGACTTTCCTAAAGATAAGTTGCAGTCTATGGAATCTATGTTATAAAAGGATCCCCTCAATATGAAAACATCCCTTTTCTCAGAGCTATAATTTCTTTTAGGCCACAAGATTAGAATGAGAGATACACGCTCTTACGCTTGTTGTCATAGAGAAACCCTGAAGCTGGGAGTTTGGAGGTCTAGGTTTAAATAGTCACCATGTATTTTACTCATACTTTGTAAATCTTGGGATCACCTTGCCTCCAGAGGAAGAAAATTTAGTATCTAAATTTAGATGTCATTCCCATTTTAATTTTTCCAGTTTTGCCAATGGGCACCCAAAACCAAGAACAGCAGTTCTAAAGCACAAAGCTTCTCCTCTAATTACAGGATGATAAACAAAGTGACAGAAGCTACCCATTTTTTCACAGATGAGAAAACCAAAGCTCAATTTTTCCCCAAGGTATCAAAACAAGTATATAGCTGTACAGATATTTGTTGGCCACGTACCCAGATATTCCCACATTCCCTACTGCTTTTTCACTGAAATTCAACAAGCTCAAACTCATTTATTGTTTTGTGAGGATTTTTTAAAAAATTATCTTTTTTTTTTTCCTGAATTAAAATCAAGTTCAGGAAAGTGTATGTCATCCTAAGTTTGAACTTCTTGATGGTTGAGAAATAATTAAAAGTAAACAGAGCACTTCCAGGAAGGGCAGCTAGCAGACAGTACTTTAGCTTGGGAAGGATGTGAACAGTAACAGCAATGGGAGGAATCAAAACCAAATGACGCCTGACAGTACACAATGAGCAGAGGCTGCTTTATACAGTTATTAGATTAGTTCACTGCTTTAGAGTGAGCACTCATTCATTATACTTAACACTGGCGCCATCAAGCGTTCAAACGTGTGTACACTGAACTGAAAAGGGATCCTTGCTATTTTTGAGCCAGCTTCTAACACACAGGATATCGTGTCTGCACCTTGTACTATGAATAACCACTACGAAGACAACAATATGCAATGTATTAATTATTGAAACTGTCCTACCCATCGGTTTTGAAACTGTCTCATTGCTATTTGTTTCTCAATAAAATTATAAAAAATATTTTTAAAAAAGATAATAGGATAGGATTTATAAACATTATCAAGCCCATCAGGTACTCTGTATCAGTACTACCAAGAGAGCAGCAGGAGAGAAAAACAAATTAGGAACCGTAAATCTGCCTTGCTGCTAGGGAAGATACAAAAGTCCACGACAAATGAGTAGCATTAGGTGGTCATGTCATGAATGTAATGAGTCTTGCTGTCTGATGTTCTTTTAAATATCACCCTCAACACTTCAAAACCCAGAGTAGGGCACTATCCAAATGACTTCTCAGAATTTTGAAACATTTTACTTTGTATACCACTTTCTCACAAAATAAGAAGGGCAAATGAGTACCAACAAATTTCTACTAGGAAGGAAGCGTCAACCTTGCCAGGTTGGGGTAGCTCAGGTAAGGGTCCTTAAAAGTCATTAGACTAGATGAGCACCTTATTCTCCACTTTCTCAGATTTATAGGATCCTTTCCTTGTGCCAGGTACTGTGATAAATACTAGAGTTATTTAGCCCTGTGAATAACCCCATGGTGACCACGGTCTGAGATGGCAAGCAGAGCAAATTCCCTTATGGCAGCAAGTGGACAGGTAAGTTTAAGCACCAAGCCTCATCCTCTTCCACCTCCTATTACTAAGTTGTGGGAATATAACAGGCAGAATTTTCTAGGTTTTTCTCCATTAGCCTCAGTAAATTTTATAGCCTAACAACTATAAATTCAAAGGAACTAAGCTAGGAAAGCCCACTTGGGCTGGTCCGGGTCTTAGATGCCAGTGTAACTCTACTGGAGAAATCTAGCACTGCAGGTTGTGGCCATTTGGTGGTACTATGAAAGTATACTTTATACTTTTTATTCCATTCTTGTCTTTGTATATACAGCTTTCTGGGTAGGAAGCCTCATAAAATAAAAGGCAGGTAAAAAGATTAGGGTACCAAAACCCCACTGTCAATTTATGTGTTTTTACTATATCTGTAGTTTCATGTTATCACTTAAGAGTTGAACTTTTATGCCCTTCAAAATCATCTTTATATCCCCAGAAGCTTGGAAACAAGCTTTCAATAAATGTTTATTGAGCTGAATACCAGAGCAGTAGAAAAGAGTAAAGTTCAAAAAGCACTTGGTTTTTGTGTAGCATTTGCCTTCATAAAACTTCACAAAGAAAACACTTCAGTGCCAAACTTCTGAGAAAAACTATTTTGTCATCAAGTGTGTTCTAAATCTACAAGGTCCATCTTTTACACAGGCTTCATCCTTCTTGGATTGCTGCCAAAAGAAAACACCATCTTCTACAAAGTTTATGAGTTATCATAACCAAAGGCAGAGGCCAGTGTTAATCCTATCAAGGTATTTTAAATAAAACAATATCAACTTAGCTATTTAAGAAAAAATATTTTTTCAACATTAATGTTTAATCTATTTTTTAAAGTTAAAAGAAGAAAACCAATTAGAAAACGGATGAAACGAAATATATGTCTTACCTGTTTTCTACAAGTCCCTTCAGTCCTTTTACCCAAATTTTTAAAAACACACATTTCCTTAATTTAGAAGGTACATTATTTGTCTCTAACCTGAAAGAACGCTCGAGCTTCTTTATACCTGCACTCGATAAATCTAGAGTGTGGTATTTCCTCTAGAAAGTGAACTGGATCTTTTGGAATGAGAACTTCTAGTCCATCAATAATAACTTGCTGTAACTCTGGCCTGAAAACAGAGTTAAGGTTTATTATGAGGATTTAATACAGAATACTACCAGCCTCTTCATAATATAAAATGCTAGGAAAATCGCTAAAGTATTTTTTTCTTCAATTATTTTGGGGAGCACTTACGAACTGTAGTAGGAAAGTCTGAAAATCTGGCACTGAACAGAAATTGAGTTTTAAGAATTTTGGCTAACGTATTTTAAAACACTTAGATGTATTCATATGTACTCTGGTATTTTTAGACGTGACATGATTTTAAAGTACCAACTTACTTTTGGAGCCGTACATGTTTTTAGCACATAACACATAAGTAAATTACAGTAGTCTGAGTGTCTCATTACAGGCAAAATGCTATCTGAAAATCAGTCCTATTCCCTTCCAGACCCCTCATTCTGCAAATATTCTTTAAGACTTTTTCATTCTTCTTCTGAACTATACAATATAGAGATAGGTTTTATTTGTGGTCATACATATTAACCAGATATTTGTTGACCAAAACAACTTTTAGTTAAATGTTGAAATAAGGCTTTAAAAACTAAAAATGTCTTACAGAGACATTTATTTAAAATATAGAATAAGAAAAAATGTGAATAAAATTGTTGGAGAATAGAACTAAGATTCTGATGACAAAAATGAGGGGCCAATATTAACAACTATTTTCCTCTAGCCCATTCCTTCTTTGCTGATTTTATTCCTAAAAATATGGCTTGGTTTAAAAAAAAGTTTGACTTTACAAATACTCAAAATATAGATAGCTTCAGTTTAGACATCTTTTCCAGTTCTTTTTCAAATATGTGAATAAACACTATTTATAGTCATTAAGTTGTAACAGATAAGCGTGGTTTCTCTGGAAGTTTCCAAGTAAGGATTTCAGTGTCAAATTTTCCACAAGCATAGTAAACTTTAAGGCAAAAGAATAATGTTTACTGCTACCTTCATATTACATTCTAGTCTACATAGAAACTGCATGTTTCTTGTCTGATTTTTTTTGAAAAAAAATTGCTATTGATAAATTTTATGCAAGTCCTTTCATACAACTTTTTCAGAAGAAATATTTTTTATTAATGTAATAGCTAATGATCTATTTTTGCACATAGTTTAAAAAATATAGGCACTTAATCCATAATGTCGCAAAACAACAAACTAAAAAAGCCAAGTCTCCAAATTTCTCTGCTTCCCTGTAGTTTTGTGTCGAATCCTAAACTAAACCTCTCCACCATCTTACCTACTTATCTTTTTATTGTTGAAGAGTATTTGTGTTGCCTTTAGCTATAAACAATGTTACTACGAACATTCACGTAAATTATATACTAGACTTCATTAGAAAATGTAAAAAAAAAAAAAAGTATAAGAATTCATGACTAAACAATGCTCATTTCGTATTTGCTCCTTTGGCTCTAAACTTACCTGTCAAAAGCTCCAGGGTAATGACCAAACTGTAACTTTCGAAAAGGAACAAATTTCCGGTCAACGTGCCTCTTGAGTCGCAGACGGCCATGCCAGAGGTAGTTTCCACTTCTCCCGTGAAGGACCACCAGGTGAATGGCGTGGGTGGCCCACTTGCAGACGCAGTGCAGCGGGATTTCAGTGCCAGACAGCGAGTCTATCCCATCCAGCCGCGGGTCTTTGCTTTCGGTCTTCAGGCATTGAAATCCCATATTCTCGGCTACTGGAAACCAGCCTTCCTAAAATCAAATAAACATCCAGGCTGAATATTTAAAACTAAATAACAGTAGCAAAACCAAAATGACTATTACACTGAATAAAAGCCATATGTGTATTAATTTGCTCCTCGCTAAAAGATTTAAAAATAAGGGTCACGAGCAGAAGGTTCTGGCAAGAGAATAAAGGAAGTAGCTAAGAGAGAAACTATATACCACAAAAGCTATGTTCAGAGGTTTTCTTCATGAAAGTTAAATTGATATAAATTTCCTTGAAATGAGAATGTTCATTTTAGTGTTCTCTGGTTAGTTTCTTAAAAGTAAATGTTAACACCAGAAACACTTACAATTAAATTTGCAATTATGAAATCCTAACACTTTAAATGTTATAGGAGAACTCCATTATAATTGAAATAGATTAATAAGCAGACTGAAAAGTACTACAGATAAAGTACATGTTCAACATCATTTGAGTATAAATTCATATAACAAGGCCAACCTCTGCAGTAGATGTTTCAGCTTGCGTGTGGTGTCGTGCAGTTACTGCTAAGGCTTTGCAGAGGTGGCCAGATCTGGAATGTGTGATGCTGGGAAAAGGGTGTCTGATTACTAAATAAGTCCACGGATTGAAGACTGAAGGGCTGGCGAGATAGCTCAGCAGACTGAAGCACCTGCTTGGGCAAGCACAGGGACCTGGTTCAATCCTTGGCATCACATGCCACACTGGTCCTGCCCCCAGGCACGCTGAGCTCTGAATGGGGCTCATGTCTGTAATCCCGGTTCTGGGGAGGCTCAAAACAGGAGGATCACTACGAGTCTGACCTGCATAGTGAGACCCTATACCAAGTATACTAAAGAAAAAAAAATCCACTGATTGATAATTCTGAGCTTGGATAATGGGAAGGGGACAGACAGAGGGCTGCCATCATCACTTGCTGCTTCTTCACTATTTTCCTGCCTTCTGCCCACCATGGACTATTTCTCCTCTGTGATGCCCCTCTGCCGTGCCACCCTGCCTTGGAGGCAGCTGGCCATGAAACCTCTACAAACTGTGAGCTCATAATCCTTTCTTCCCTTAACTCTGGGTGTCAGGCTCAGCAACAAGAAAAGTAAGTAAGAAGATTTTAGTATTAACTTTAACAATCAGTAGCACAGATAAGTATTACGCTATATATATGTAAGAATTTACAATTTCCAAAGAACTTGTAGTTCTATTACTGCATTTGCACAAGGCATCTACTCTATAATGTAAGTTGTACAAGTATTATAGATAAGGAAATAGGACCACAGAAGTCAAATTTCCTATCTAAAGCAGAATAAGATACAAAGGCACTGTAAGCACTGAGGTCCTCTCCAACCAAAATCTAGGTCCCTTCTACTATCTAATACTACCTCTCTAGTTTATATATCCACAGAAACTATGTGAGATTAGCAAGGTAGATATTATTATATTTAGTCTATATAATCATGGGAAATAAAACTCTAGGAAGGAATACCAGATATTAAGGTAATAAAATGATGGACTGTGTCTTGAAGTTTGTTACACTGGCCATCACATTCAGAAACATTTTTCAAGAGCACTTTCTTCATATAAGTTACTGGCTTTCAATGTTTCCAATTGAATCAGTTGTACTTTCATCCATACTTTTACAAAACACAGAAACTTCTACAGTATTATTTATTGCATCGCTTCTGAATTGCTGCTGAAATGACTAAACTTCACTAATAGGTTTAAGTTCCTCACCCAGAGACATCAACAGTCTCTAGGACCCAGGGGTAATCAACAGATATTTTTCTTGTTTATGTTGTTAAAATAAAAGAAAGTGATTAAGTCTGACAGTGCTGGCAGAAAGTGCCTTCTCTTTTCTGCTGTGCTCTTTTTGAGACAGGGTCTTGCTATGAAGTTCAGGTTGGTCCTGAACTCACTGTAATCTCCCTGCCTCGGCCTCCTGAGTGCTGAATGCACTACCATGCCGTTTCCTTTTTTTTTTTTGTGGAACCAGGGATTGAACTCAGATCCTTGTGTTTACCAGTCAAGCGCTTATCCTACTGAGCTATCTCCCCGGTCCCCCCTGTTTCCTTTCTGAATGTAGAGCTCATTTGTGTTCGGGTCAAAGAAATGTTGACAGATGCATCATACACTACTTCTAGGCCCTTAAAAGGGCCCCAAATCCTATGTTCTCATTCATTTGCATGTATGAAGACAAATGACTCCATGGTGAGAATACCACAGAAATCAAATAGCCTGCATTACTGCCTACAGCAGAGCTGTCTAGAAATACCTCTGATCAGGAATATCACAATGAATTTTGTACAAAGACACTGCTTTCTTGTGGTAAGGTAAAATTACAAGGTTGGTTTTAATGGCAACCAATGTAATCTATTCTAGCTAATGTAATTTTGCCTTTATTCTCCTTATGTTAGAATTATCAGCTTCTTCTTTCATGACACTTTCTAAGAAGTAGGAAGCACTGATTGAGGGTGATGGTGACCAATCCAAGAAAAGACATTACAACATTATTATAGAATGAAAGGCACTTTAAATTGGTAAATCCAGGAAAAATTAAATAGGATAACCAGACCTTGAAAGAAATCTGACCTTTATTGGGAGAAAAGAAAATATAAATACACAAACTAGGTAAAATTAAAAGGTTTGGCTTCTCATAACCTTCAGAAGGAAAAGTCAATAAGGGTTTGCTCTGATCAAGTAAAGGTCTACCTCAAAGCTATGCAGCAGAAAAGCTCCACTGTTGCCTTGCCAATGGTCTCCTCACTTTATGGTCACAGTACCGCTAAAGAAAAATCACAGGTAAATGAAGCCTACAGTAATTAGAGCTAATAATGTGACTGGCCTCACCTTGAGAGAAGTTTTAGGGCGCACTACCCATGAGCTGTGGATGATGTCACATGTATAAAAGGATGTACCTATTTACGGCATTTACTCTGGGTACAGCTGGCCCCCTTGTTCCACAGGCCCTGGTCACAGGAGTTTACCCAACCTTGGCATATTTCCATGCCTTCAAAGAAGCAGTTCTTGAGGCAAATAGTACTTTACTTGAGATATTCTGGAAACTCATGGGGATATTTTTGGTTTATTATAATGATATACCAACATTTAGAGTCACAGATTAGGGACACCAGACATCCTTTAATCCAAAATATGAAAATCTATCCTGTGTTTTACATAATTTGATCACAAAGTGAAAAACTGAATTATTTTGTTTTCCAGATCAAATATATTTGAATATTTAACCCTGAAATATACGCTACTTCCTTTTATTTCTACCTACATAGCTTATGTAAGACATTACATGGATTTGGGGATTATGTGTATAGAAGGGTTATAATTTCTATAAACTTCATTTTGGGAAAATAAAGGACATTATAGAAAGCTCTTTGTCAGCACAGTAAGCTTTGTAGACTTTTTCTATGAGAAAATCAAACAACTCAGCAGTGATGACTTGCAAGTGCTAACATTAAAACTCTCCCCAGTGAAAACACTGGGGCACTCACTACCCTGTAGGACAGTTCACTGGCTAATGAACCCTGATTTTTTTTTTGCGGTACTAGGGATGGAACTCAGGACCTTATGCTTGCCAGGAAAGCACTTATTCCACTGAGCTATCTCCCTGGCCCATTGTAGGTTTTTTTTTTTTTTTTTTTTAATGAAGCCTAAATTTAAAAAAAACACAATTAGTTGGCAGTCTCTTTTGTTTAAATACGAAAAGACCAACAAATACTGTAGAAATCCTATACCATAAAAACACACAAGTAGACTCCTCATGACAGCAACTAGGTTAGTGCATGACACTTGCGCCCACCCATATGAGCAAGCAGGCCCAGCAGGACGGCGCCCTATGCAAGACACCAGGCCTGCGAGAGACCTCCCCAAAAGCAAAGGGTGAGACCAACCAGCAACTCCAGGCTGGCTCTACATTTTGCTTCCTCTTGGCACAGGGCAGCAGAGGTGAGGATGATGCTCCAGAAAGAAGGGGATAATCAGTCCCCATGAATGTCAACATTAAATACCACAGTCTGCCTGCACCCTCATCCAGTGGCTTCCATCCAGCAGAGACCAGAGGGCTAATAGTGTGCCTACCTACCAGTGGAAACTGACACACATCATCGTTTGGACAGTAACCAGTCTGGGATGGACATACAAACAAGCCTCTGAGGGACAAAGGCCACCTCAAAGACCCGTAGGCACTAAAGCTGCAGAGAAAAGCGTGACAGTCTAGATCGCAAGACTGTGCATCTTGGAAGGAAATCACTCTTTCAAAAATAAGGAAGTAAAAAAATGGTGGAGTGGTGAGTTGCAAAAACTCAGCCTCTCCAAGATTTATGATCCAGACTCTGGGCAACAAACTTGGAGAAGAAATAGAGAAATAGCTCCCTAGCAGCCAAGAGGGAACCGACAAAAATGAAAAAAAAAAAAATAAATAAATAAAAGATACATAAGAAACAGAACACATCACAGGGAAAGGAAGGGATCCTCTAGGCTTCCTTGGCAGATGGAGTAACTGCAAGTGGCTTACTGAGGCTGTAAGCGGCTATTCATGGCTACAAACAGCTTCCTGCAACTGATGTGACAAAGTGAAAGGAAAATTTTGTCCTCACAGCAGAAAGAGCCAGCAGCAGCTGAGATCTGCAACAACAGATCTGCAACTCTGTTCCCAGTGTCCTTTTATGGACAACAGCTGGTGAGTGACCCTAATACAAATATCCACTTTCCCTGAAGAGTGTCCTTGCTGGGACACCATTCTAGGAATGCGCTCAGTCAGAACCTGGGACCAGAGCGGACTCATGGCTCCACTCGAAGGCTGCCAGTGTTACATTCCCAAAGTAACTGGGTGAAGGAGAGTCCCAGGAGCCAGGGGCTGGAAAGAGCTCCTCCCGAGGGCGGGCTCGAGGCTACAGAGCAGATTCCTCCAGTGGCCTGAGGCCAGGGTCAGCCTGATCCCCACGGGCTTTAAAAGTGAGCACTGGCATTTCTGTCTTATTATCCTCGATGCCTGTACCCAGCA